GATCGAGTGAAGGCGAGAGAGTGAAGAGAGTAATAGATGTGAGTTGGATCTAAGTAAATTATGAATATATTTAACACTCATATTATTTTGAGCTTTACCATTCTAAATCCATTTATGACCCCATTTATTGAATATAGCTAATCCATATAACAATCCAACCTATCAAATACGGGTTAAAAAATGGGTCTATGACTCATTTTGACAGATGTAGAATTTGTCGTACGACCATATGAATAGAGAGAGTAAACGCCAAGAACAAAATCATGACTTCAATGTCATGACTTCTGACCTTAGTCTCCTGAAGCAGCTGCAGTGCGGGAAAGTTGATTTATTTCAAGTTGGAGAATCCGTAATCCTGGGAATGTGATGGACCCGATTAGATACAGAAAGAAAATCAATAAGATGTGAAACATCTTAGACTAAATGAGTATAACTTGGAGGCAAGGCGACCAAAGAGAGGAGATCGATCGGGACGTTCGATTTTTCATGTGATATCAAATCAGATATTCAAAAGTTCGAATCCCTCTATCACCTTCCACATTACCATCACTTTAAATTTTCTTTCAATGTCCCGGCATATACTAGCATTGAGTCGTGTTAATGCAGCTTCTTTTGAGCGAATAGGTGATGTTTAGACCAGCTAAACCATTACTTTGTCGGTGTGTTGATGCATCTCTCAAACATATGTTGATGCGCAAATTGATCCCAAGCTTGAGAAAGCGTGTTACATTAATCAATCTGCATGCACAGATAAATTGCAAATCGGGTATTCAACCTAGGTTACTCCAATAATTAAAGTCAGTAAGAATGAATCACTTCATTCGAGACGCCCTTGCACTGATCTCCACTTAGTCTCCTTCACGTGACACTAGCTCCACTTCTAATGGTGGTTTCATAGATCTCCTAGCTGGCTTTCCCAAATACCTAGAATTGCTCTCTCTCTCTCTCTCTCTCTCTCTCTCTCTCTCTCTCTCTCTCTCTCTCTCTCTCTCTAGTTAAAATAAACGAGATGTCCCATGGTGCATGAACGAAACGAGGGTACGATGAATGTTCCTCAATACTCAGTAGCTACGACATAATCATAGTAATTAACTAATAATTAAGAACGATGGGGGGTGTCATGTCGTTTGGCTTGGATTCTAGTCATTTACGAACCGAGCGACTCGCGTGGTCGTTGGGCTCGTGTAGTTATTGAAGTACAAGTCCGCATGTGGGAGTGCTCCACATTGGTGTGGCTTGGACTGAGCGTCCGAGGAAATGATCCATGCATCCAACCATCGGTGCCCGCCGCCGGACGCCTGCTCACCCGACAATTTGGTATAAATAATTAGGGAAATATGGCATTTGTCTCTATGGGTGTATTCGAGTCGAGTATGGTCGATACGGTGCCCTCACGGTCGATTTGACTTGATCCGTATACACAACATTTAAAAGTTGACGTGAACTTAATCGAGTATTAAAATTTGTGCTTTGAGTTCAATTTGATTAGAAAATCGAGATACTCGAGCTCGACTCGAATGAAGTTGCATCCACGTTATTCATAAAGAAAATTCATTCATCCAAGACAAAATTTACTGCTTGTCAGTTCTCGTTTCATTGACGCAACACTAATCAGCAAAAGTGCTTGAACACGGAATGCTCCAGTCAGAAGCGAAAGCAAAACGAAGATGATGATGACATATCGAATGTTGGAGATATAGATATATTTAGGAATTTTGTGTATTTCTCTCGATTGATTCTGATTAATTCTGATTGGTATTTCAAACTCAAGTAATATCTCAGTTAACGGTTTGAAATTAGATCTTGGGCAACTAAACTTTTAGACTTGGAGATTCATTCAGATTCTCTGGTTATAATCTTTCCCAAGCCAAGTATGCCACTAATCTTATTTCTCGAGTTACAACTCTTCTTGAGACAAATGCCAAATTTGATGCCAAAGATGGGATTCCTCTTTTGAATCCTACACTCTATCGACAACTAGTCGGCAGTATTATATATATCACTGTTACTCAACTTGGTAGCTTATGCTATCCATATTGTTAGTCAAGTCCTTCGAATTCGTTGCTACATCAAGGGTATGCTCCACTATGGGTTACTGCTTCTTTTTGGGCATCTCACTTCTCTTATGTTGTAGCAGGAATCAAACCACTGTAGCTCGCTCTAATACAGGAGCAGAAAATCGAGCTCTTGCTAATACAAGATCATAGTTACTATGGTTACGATGGCGCTGTTGGAAAACATGGGAGTGCATTAACATACAAGAACAATCATTTATTACGATAATCGAAGTGTTATTCAAATAACACATAATGATGTTTTCCATGAACAAATCAAGCACGTTGAAATAAACTATCATTTCATTTGATATCATGTTTTTTGCGGCGTTGTTCGACTTGTCTCTATTCATCCGCTGAACAAACTGATGATATCTTCATTAAGACACATCCACTTGCACGTTTTTTAGATCTTTTCTCCAAATATGTATTTCTCTTAATTGATCCTGTAAAGTCTTGTGTACTCTTCATTCGTGAACGACCAGAAATTTACATTTTTCTATCATCACAATCATCAACTTCCAAGCACATTTTCCGTGAATTTGAGATCTTGAAATCTACAATATGTACAGGCAGCGTGGATCCCTCCAAGGACAGTTGCCAACTTGTCGATCAAAATCAAGAGGATCTTGAGAGAAAAAGATTTCAACTACACGCTACGACTTCCCTCGGCAACTTCACCGGCAGCAGCCGATCCGGAGACACCGGCAGCCTTGTCGGGAACTCCTCGTCCGACTCCCGGCTCCGATCGTCCTTGAAGTTGAGCGCGTAGCTCATGGGATCGTACCCGAACTCCGAGGCCACGACGTGGCCCTGCCTCCTGCACCTCCCGATCCGCGCGATGATTCTCTAGCACTTCTACCGGATCTCCGGCAGCAGGAGCTCCTGAGCCGTCGAAAGCAGCCACGAGTGGGGCGATCGAGCCGCCTTGTAGCGGTTGCCGTTGTCACAATCCGAGGCGGCCTCATGGCAGATGGCAGCATGGCCGTCGTGGAAGCAGCAGAAGAGGCGGGGAGAGGATGATGGGAGCTTGTGATGGAACAACATTTTGGGTGTGAGATAGAGAGAGATAGCGCGATGGGACTCGGAGTCTTGGTCTGGTCTGTGCAAGTCTGCGAAGAGAGTGAATGGCCATGAGGAAGAGGGATGAGGTTGGTGGGTTTTATTTATAGGGTGGACCGGATAAGGACGGCGGCACGAGCAGCGGAGCAGAGGCAGTGCAAGTGATGAAGGAAACGGTGGGAAGTTCGTGGGCAAGTGGAGAAGTGGTTTTTTGCGTTAACCCCGCGTGGGTTTTATCAATTTTGTTTTTCTTAACTTCCATTTTTGGGGCAGTTTGGTAGTTAAGCAAAAGTCGAGGGACCACGTAGCAGCTGCTTTTTCCTTTTCCGCGTTTACGAAAGTTGAAAGATTAAATAATTTTATTTATGGGTTATCGTATGACAATATAAATTACAGAGGGAAAAGGCCGAGAACGGAATCGTGACTTGGAAGTCATGACTCCCGCGACCTTAGTTTCTTCACCATTATCCCTGACACTCCACTTTCCAGGCAAGAGGGGTTTTTTTAACATCCACTGCAACTTCAGCGCGAAAGAATCCATGAGACCCAGAGATTTGGTGCGAATTGACCCAACTTTCACCACTTTGCCCGCCAAAGGAGCAATAGCTTTCGCATTGTTCTCTGTCATTTGGTCGAAGGCCAATCCATGTATTTGCAGCCACACCTCCGGTTCATCAAAACAGAGGTCCTCCACTCTCCTCTGAGCATCCCATCTCTGCAGGTTTATGTAATTTCCAATAATCGACCGAGGGCCAGAAATGAGGACTCTCTGCTTGGTTTCAAATATGAAACGTGAACACATACATCTCCTTCTGAGGGCTTATAGAGTAATCTCACCCATAACAGCCCGGGCTTTCCTTAAAACATTAGCTACGCAGCTCGACTCGAGCACTTGTCCGACAAAATCCTTCCAATCAAAACCATCTCAGCTTCCTCATCATCAACTTTCTCCACAACCAAATGATCCCCCAGAATATCGTCCACCAGACATGCTTGGGATGTTAAGAGAACATCTGCAGCCATCCTGGAATTAGCAGAGAATCAACTCATAAATATCGTTGAACAGTTGATAGGGGCAGAGTGTAGTGATAGGAAAACTAGTGCGAGGAAACAATGCCAAAGAGACTTGTTAACAGAAATAGAAAGCAGACGGAAATAACTAATGATAAAGAGAACTTGGATGAGGATTACGGATGATCTGAAAAGAATGGGGGATGACATCATGGAGGAAGGTAGCTGAAAGGAAACATCATTGTGATGTAGGGAAAGCTCTCGACAAAGAGAGAGAAGCTCTCACAAGAGGGAGAGATTCATATCTATGCATACCTTCCTGAAGAGAAAAACGGTTGTTGTAATTTCTAGCCAATAGAAGCTCTGTTTGTGAAAGTCTCCAGACTTTTATTCGCATAGACGTTGTGGTCATTAATGAAATTTTGTTTTTTATAATATTTTCTTCGAAGGATTAGAAATTTAGAATCGAGATGATAAAAAAAATCATTCGATCAGCGTAGAATATGGAATTGAATATGATTAGAATATTAAATCCTTCAAGCCGAATATATTAGCTAATTTGAGCCCCATGAATCCTGTTTCATAATTTGGCACAAGCCTACCGCCTGCACCATTTCTGGTATTCAACTGAAACAAAGAAATTCATACTAAAAGCCAAGAAGTAGCAGTCTAGTTCAGTAACCATTCACGACAAAATTCGACCGGAGATGTGTCGATCCTAGTAAGTCCGAGTATTAAAAGGATTATCTCACGCCATCGATAGAAAGATTTGAATGCATCATTTTGACTTTTTCTTCGTCGGTGAATGATTAGTACTGGCTTTCTCTATTTCAATCTCACTCGCCAGCCACTAGGAAAGTTTTATACTCAGTCAACGAAGCTAGTGCCTTACTCCACAGTACATGTACAGCATCTGCAACGTTTAGCACAAAGGAATCCACAACGACCCCGAGATTTGGTGTGCATTGACTCAACTTTCCCCAGTTTGCCCACCCAACAAGCAATAGGTTTCGCATTGTTCTCTTTCATTTGGTCAAAGGCCAATCCATGTATTTGCAGCCACACCTCCAGTTCATGAAAACAGAGGTCCTCTGGTCTCTTCTGAGCATCCCATCTCTGCAGGTTTATGCGTTTTCCCCTAATCGACCAAGGGCCAGAACTCAGCACTCTCCTTGCTAGGTGCCAATCGTGAAACCGGAACAAATACATCTTCTCATTTTTAAGGGTTGTGGTAATCTCACCCATACCAGCCCAGGTTTTCCTTCAAACACTAGCTATGCAGTTTGACTCAAGCACTTCTCCAACAAAATCCTTCCAATTTAAACCATCTCAGCTTCCTCATCATCAAGTTGCTCCAAAACCAAATGATCCCCCAGAAGATTGTCTACCAGAGATACATGCGATGTTAAGGAAACCTCTGCAGGCATCCCGTAATGAGAAAAAAGAAATATATTAGCAGAGAATAAACTCAGAAATGTCATCGAACAGTTGATAGGGGCAGTGTGTAGTGATAGGAAAACTAATGCGACGAAACAATTCCAAAGAGACATAACTAAAACAGAAAGCAGATGGAAATAACTAATGATGATAGAGCGCAAATATGAGGATATTGGATGATTGAGAAGAATGGGGGGTGACGATCATGGAGAAGGATAGCTGAAAGAAAGCATCATTTTGATGTCGGGAAAGCTCTCAACAAAGAGAGAACCTCTCACAGAGGGGAGAGACACAAATCTATGTATACCATCCTGAAGAGAACTCAATATCCCATTCTTTTGGGAGCATATATGCTAGAAAGCTAACATATGAAATTAAGAGAAAAACGGTTCTCGTAATTTCTAGCTTACAAAAGCTCTGTTTATAAAATCTCCTGATTAAAATTGCATACACGTACTTATGTGCAATCAATCTTGAGCTTCAGTGGCCGAAAAATCAAACTTGAGCTTCACTCTTTTAATGCCAATGATCTTCCATTATTTTTGCAGTGTTCTACTTCAATGCAGGGTCACACAACGTCGTGAACATGTCAAATGGTGAAAACAATAACTGCAACAGTGCTTCTACATTCATACACCAATCAACGGACCAGCCACCTTTTCCCTCAACAAAGCCAGCAAGTATTACTTCGTCTACACCTTTGCTAACAGTGACCGTTGCGCTCAGGGCCAAAAATTAACTGTCACCGTCAATGAAACTTCCACCAACCCGGACCTCCAGTCCAGCTGGATCCCCGTAACTGCCAGCACCAACCACTGGGACCACCACATCTCTGCCACCACCTGGAAGTGATGCTTCATATCTCTGTGTGACACTGCTAGTCCTGTTCATGTCCATTGCCATAAGCTTATTATGTGAGTTCATTATACATGAGGATCATTATTTCTACCAGATATAGGTGAACTATTGATAGATCATGAGATGTTGCTCCTCATCATAAAGCGAATAAACTCGTTAAAATGCTTCTATAATTCCAGCATGATTCATATAGATAACATTGCTCAAACTTGCACTAGTTCATTAGTCTCTTTGAAATACATATATGGTTCTCCTCCCAAATTCTGAAGTTAGGCTCCATTCGCAGCTCCAATATCATGAAGACAAAGATTATTAGAAATGTTAGCACACAGCAGGAGACAAAAACTTGCAAACTAGAAAGTCGAAATAGAGCATCACTAGAACAAATCTTCATTGGCATAGCGAAAAAATCCCACCATTGGAATGACAGAGCAGAAGAGTAAATCACGTGGTGACAGGAAAAATGGTGTGAATCTTGTTAGGATCAAATTCAACACAAATGGTTGATCGAGAACTTAAAATGACAATGAAACTATGAACTCACTCTTGCAGCCTTGCAGCATATAAAATTCACATCTGATGGATTAACTTGAAACAGCCGGACGAATTTTGGGGATCCAGAGCACCACAAGTCCAGCAGCATGACCGCTCTCCTTTGCCTATGTGTTTTTGCACTTTGCCTCCAGAAGCTTCCTTAATAATCCACATGTCAATCATTAAATTACTTCGAGCAATCATATGAGAACACACAGAAGAAAATTACAGTTGCAATATCACAGAACAATAAAAAAACCAATTCAAGCAATCAGGATAAGCAAGCAAATTCACATCGTTCCTGAGTATGGGATTTCAGTTGTCCACCTTAAGAAACTGAGATGACTATGGTTAAAGGGATTTTCTTAAAGAGCTGCTTGTTCTTTCAATGTTTTGTAATTTCCACCAAAACAACATCATGTATAAGCCAGTATGCCTGCCATTATAGGAATCAACAGAAGATAAAAGTTTAACTCACCATGTAAACAAAACAAACACGTTATAGATGACCTGCAAGCAAGCAGAACAACGTTCAATACAAAACTTATGATCTAGTCCTCCAACAAGGGCTGCCAGTTACATTCCTACTATGATCAAGAGAAAGATTTCATTCCAACTAAGGAACATGAATCACTCAGTAATGTTCAAAAAATAATCACTCACGGATGATTCACCAGGACTGCCAGCTTCATTCATGATTTTATCAAGTCTAAGATTTTGCCTCATTAGGGGACAAGGATCAGTTTCAAATATCGAACTATCACCAGAATGTGATCTCATGAATACCCAACGTAACAACCGCTCATATTCCGTATGAGGAAAGCTCAAGACAATTCAGATATTGGCTGTAGCCACTTGCATCTGGAAATGTTGTAAGCTTGTGGAAGCTCCAAGTCTCTAAGCCCTCAAGGCTCAATTAGTTTGTCGCGGTCTGGTACGACAATTGACGAGCATCATCAAATCTCTATACTTTATAGGTGGCTCGATCCTTTGAGCCCTGAGATGTCTGATAATTTCCAACGAGCTGTCACTATCAAGTTCCTTAAATCTTCCAATTTCGACACATCTGGGAATTTCGCTAACAACTTGCAACCTTGAATACACAAACTTTTGCAGGATGAGAATATCTCTAGGCTTTGAATGTAATCACAGTGGTTGATTTTCAACCTGTTCAGGGTTTTCAATCACAATAGATCCGATAATCTCCCAAGGGAAGTGCAACAACAGATATCCAATATTACCAAAAAAATCCAGCCCGTCAAGGTTGCGTTTCAATTAGACTTTTGCAGCTTGCAACATGAAAGCCCTCAAATTCTTTAAACTGGAAAGGTGTGGTTATCATTCGATGGATGTGCAATTAGAGATATCCAATATTACCAATAACAACATCTCAAGACCGTGAATTTCAACTAGATTCCTGCAGTCTGCAGCATAGAATCCCTCTAGACATTTTTAACTTGATAGGTCTGTTTATCTTTTAATGGATTGAAAGGTCTGGTAATCTTTTAATGGACATGCATCTAAAGACATTAAAACAACCCAAAGATTATAATTAATCAATCAAGGCCTCGAACTTCAACTAGATTCTTCCAATTTGCAGCGTGAAATTCTAAGTCTTTAAACTGGAAAAGCCTGGTAATCTTTTAACAGAAGAGCACCCAGAGATATTCAATCTTGCCAGTAAATCCAACCTGTAAAGACCATGAATTTCAACTAGATTTCGGCAATTTGCAGCATGGAATCTTTCAATGGACGCGCATCCAGAGATACAGAACGTTTCCAGATATTCTATATGGGTCAAAGCCTCAAACTTCAACTAAATTCTCGCAGTTGGCAGCATATGATTCTTTTAGATTCTTTAAACTTGAAAGGCCAAGTGATGGAATGGACATGCAAACAGAGATATCAAACTTACCAGACTCTTGCAGTTTGCAACACATGATAGCCTTAGATGTTTCGAACTCGAAAGGTCCCCTGAATCTCAACTAGATTCTCGCAACTCGCGGCGTTTGTTTCGAAGTTGTAAAGCAGCACCTTCTTCATTCATTTTCTGCACGAGTGCGTCTAAAGAGCCGAGCCAAAATGATTGTCAATGGCCCAACCGAGGGAACCTTTTGGTGGCTCACCACCTCCTCCCCGCATTACCCAACATATGAGGTCAGAGAGACATAGAGCGACCGGAAGGATCAAAATTTGTCAAACATGCATTTACCTGAATTGGAGCAAGATTATTCCAGACTATGGAGTGATTAACATGACCTGAACATAGGTTACATCCACAAAATCGTAAGAGGAGCAAAATCAAAAGGATAATAACGGGCTAAGCAGCAAAAGCTAATCTTTAATAGTTGAATATGCACATAGAGAAAATAAAAAGAAAATTTAAGATTGTTGGATAATTTATAAAAAGAAGAAGAGGTAATAGAAGGGCCAGCACAGCCATTAGTGCTCTTAAAAAAAACACAAAATTTCTGCAAATTGTTTTTAAACAATAGACCTGAATGAAGTGTGTTTCAAATGTGATGAAGTTCTGTAAGAAAGTTCAATCACAGTCGTGGTTCAACTGCCTTTGCAAAACTGCGTGAACTACCACCACAATGCCGGTGAAGCTGACTTAAAAATGAATTGATAATATCTGACACAACATTTCACACTTGTTCATCACATGCTGTCAATTATTCATATGAAACAAAACGAAACTCAGAAACCCTAATTTCACCTCTTTTCCCCTTTCATTTGGTTGGTAGCAACTACAATAAGAATGTGATAACAAATAAAACCTACCGATACAGTGACTAATCTAAGCAACTGTCTTCAGGATGGAAAGACAACCCTCAACAAAATTTTCCTCCTAGTCAGTAAGCATGACACAATCTGAATGTGGTCCCATTCGAATGCCACCCATCCTCACTAGTGCCATATAGATCCAAAACTTGTCACTCTGTACATTCTATAGTACTATGGTTCATCAGGAGCACCAGCGCACCATTCACATCAATATGGAAAGAGCTATTGACAACCAACCAGACATTGGTGAGCTATGGCAGACAAATACTAAAAAAACCAGGAACTTTGGCTCTAGAGGGGAGCTAACCCATCAAGGATTTGACATGAGCCGCGACTGCAGATAATAGATTTATCTTACCGAGTGCTGGCAAAGCCAGATCAGTCACTTTATATACACTACAAGTTCCCTCGCGAATGATAGCTCATCTTTGAAATGTGCCGCTTCGTATATTTAATTGTCCATGAGTTAAATTCTCGACCACCTTTCACTCTCAATTTCATTGAATCTAAGGAAGCTTTCATCACAAAAAAAAAAACCTTCTTTCAGTCCATTAACCTTAAATGGAACAAAGTTGAGAGCATTTTTCCTTGTTCATCTGTTTCGCTGACGAATAAGACTATATGCTAAACTGTGTTCAGCTACCGTGACCGAAACCTTAACAGCTCTGCCTACTGCCTAGTCCTCATCATTTCTCGAGGGAACAAATTAAATCACCAAGGATTGACCCCAGATGAGAAGTGAAGCACCTCCTCAGCAAATTTGACTCTGGCAATTCATTAAGGTCCTGTCTCTATGCAACGGCAGGCAACAGTTAAAGAACAATCCGAACACTTGTCGAGTCCGCGTTAGACAAGAGAATGCTCGATCAATTATCGCTCCTGACAAATTTCACCTTCACATCCTCACTTACAAAGCAAACAACAAAAACTAAATCCCACACAGAACGAACGAAAAAACAAGAGGACAAAACAGAAAATAATGGAACCTCCGCCATTGAACTTGACAGGCGCTCTGCAACTTATTAACGACGGCCGGAGCGTCACCCTCGCCCATGGCATCGTGGAGCTGCTCGAGCGCCTTGTTGGAGTTGGCGACGTAGGCCTGGCGGTGGTGGTGCTTCTTCTGGCGGTGCAGCTGCATGATCTCGCCGCTGATTGCGGGCTGGAGAGCGCCGTAGTCGTAGGGGAGATCAAGCCGCCATTGGAGCCGAGGCCCGAGGTGGAGAGCCATGGGAGCTTCCCTTCTGCTGTGGAGCTGATCTTCAAGCTCAGTCAGATACACTTCGGCTCGTCACCTCTGGACAATCTGGGAATGCCTATTCAATGTGTAAGAGACATACGGAAAATACCCCCAGTCCCAGCGTCTGATGGCTTTTCTTAGCCCAAAGGACTTGTCGCGGATCAATTCGTATAAGCGCTCCTCGTCGAACCAATCGGCGGTACACGTTTCACATGGAAGAGAAAGCTTCGATAGTCGGACGGGAAGCTCTGGGAGACATTCAAGTGGACGGCAATCACAAAGAGTGAGTTCCTCGAGAAGGGTTAGTTTGGAAAGAAATGGTAACGATGGACTTGGGAAAGTGATGTGCAGAGCTGTTAAGCTGGAGGGCGGTTCAGGTATTCCACGAAGGTTTTTGCAAATTTGAACGCTGAGATGTTGGAGAGAAGAGAGCTTAGAAATGCTTTCTGGCAAGCCTAAAATTCCCGATTCGTTTAAATCAAGCTTGTTTAGCGAAACCAGTTCGCCTATACCATTAGGCAGTCCTTTCAAATTTTTGCAATATGTTGCACTCAACTCTTGGAGTTTCGCCAGCATTCCAATGGCACTAGGGAATTCCGTCACGAGAGTTCCATCAATGTTCAAGATCCTCAAATTTTGCAGATTCCCAATGCTTTCAGGTAATTTTGTAATCGATGTCCACGTTAATCGCAGCTCATCCAATGATGCCAACTTTCCAATCGAGTCAGGGATCTCTCTCAACGATCGACATCCCAATAGGTCAAGGCGAGATAGAGATGCTAGATTGCCTATGGAGCTAGGTATGCGAGCTAATGATTCACACCAAGAGGCATTAAGAGTCTCCAGCGCCTGCATAGAACCAATGGATTCAGGTAATTCTTCAATCTCTGTCTCTCGTAAGTTCAGCTGAGTTAACGACACAAGGGAGCCCATGGATTCCGGAAGTTTAGCAAATTTATCACAACTTAGGGCACCTAGAATCTTTGGCTTCATCAAACAACCTCTCGAAATAGGATTCTCTTTTATAGCGGTGTCATTTATGAGAAGCTCCCTCGATTCTTCCATTCTCCCTACTCTTGCTGGTAGCTCCTTCAGTCTCTCACAACGCTTGACATTCAAGGAGACGAGAGTATTGATATACCAAATAGAAGGATGAATTGCTTCCAGACTCCAACAGTTTTTAAGAATCAAAATCTCCAAGCTTTTGAAAGCAGACAAGTCGGGAGTTCTTCTCAAATGTTCACAATACGAGAGGTTGAGAACTTTCAGCTCGGTTGCCATCTAAAAGAAACAAAGGAAAACCTCAGTGAAATTGGACAGCTGCAATGTGTGATTTTCCACTATTCCTTGTTTTTTTTTATAAGAATCTATAAGATTCCCAAAAAATACCTATGCTCCATTACTCTTTCACAGTTGTTTTATTTGATTTTAAATGTTCTTTAATAGTATTAGGCTACACCACCATATTGATTTTTTTAAACATATCCATTGCAAAAAGAATGTTAGGGATGTACAAGTGCTAACCATGTTTATTTTTGGACAAATTTTCAAAGAGAAAATATATTCAGTTTTTAAGAGATATGGCGATGCCATTGATTAGACATAAGCAAATTTTATTATCAAAAAGCAGATGACACTTCAATAACGGGTAGTTTAATTATGAAAAGCAATTTTTTAATGTTATATGTACAAGATATAAAGAATGTTGTATTCCAAAAAAAATTATTGCCACTGGAAGGATAACTTTATTACTCTCATAACATTAATAATTTATATTTGTGTTATACAGTCACGACTTCCATAATCAACAATTATAATGATTAAATATTTCGTGCAACAAGTCTGAGCAATTCATAAATAATATCCATTACTCTATGATTAAAATGAATTTAGAATTTCAGTATGAATGTACAACACAAGTCACTGCGTGGGAGTTTCTGTTTCTCCAAGAAAGAAGATTGATATAGAGATATAACAAGAATCGCTCAAAAGACATGCTTTTGCACGGGGAGAAATTATCTTAGAAGCCATAAACCAACTAGATTAACGAAATACAAAATAGGCACAATTAAGTAATTAAATTTTTAATATTTTTTAATTAATATAGTTAATTTTTTTTAGTATTGTCCAAGCTTAAGCATGACGGGTTGTTGAGTTTTATCAATTTAAACATATTAAGGGGCAGAAGCTTCTGAATATTTAGGTGCCTATAAATTCCTCTTATATTTAGACAAAAATTCTTAATCCGAGGAACAATACCTAACCTTTCTATAAGAAAGAAAGGAGAACTTGGTGCGATTGGACCTTTGGTAACACGTTATTATTTACAAGAGAAATATCTTCTCAATATCTTACCTTGAGTGGACCCCATCCTTCCCAGTCCTCTGAAATGCTACTATATGATAGATCAAGCACAATTAATTTCTTCGGATGAAAGTTGGCCATTTCGAAATTTGAGGGACAATTCTCCCACTGAAGCCATCTTAATTGAGGAAGCAAATTTTGGAAATCTCCGATGAAATTCACACCGCACACTTGAAGGAACCTCAAGTTGGTGAGTTCGTTAAATTGTTCACCTCGGTAGCTTTTCCAGCCATTATAGCCAAGATGAAAGGCCTTCATCTTATAATGCCAACCATAGCTTTTCTTGCCATAATAGCCAAGACAAAGGGCCTCAATCTTACTAGTGCCCTGCAATTACGAAACATTGTAGACCATAAGTTTTAATTGATGAAATGAGACCAATTGTATATAAAAAGACGGACTTATTTCCATTTGATATCATACTAATATGGTGTAGGCTTCTTACTTTCAACTCGGTGAAATGATAAGTCGTCATTGCATATGATTTATCTAATTTATGTAAAAATGTGAAGCTCAAGAAGGTGTTTTCGAACTTTTCTTCTTCCAATTATGCCTTTCGTAAATTTGCACCTTTTGAATTACCAAAAATTGCATTGTTTCAAAATTACAATAGAAGGCCTTATGTACAAACTACTTCAAGTATATCTATCAAAATTCATGCCTTTTATATGTGAAACGGCACAACCATAACTCACATTATTTATATGCGAAACAACATGACTCTTACGGTCCAAGTACATCTATCAAACTTGTCATCAAAACATGTTTCAAAATTAGAGAATCTGAATTATAGATGCCCCCTATCTATGACTCCGATGTACCTTGTTTGCAATTAACAATAGCAACATGAAAACGAGAATGTCATCTCAAAAAGTATGCACTTCGTTTACATTCCTTTCTTATCATGTGTTTCTTTAATGAGTGTTTTTAATTATACATGGAAGAAAATTTGATTTTATATTAACCGTTATAGACGATCTTTACTCCTCTTTTTATTAGCACAGATGTCTGACGCAACATTTTCATTATCTTGTTTATTTTGTTACGGTGAAATAGCATAAGTTAATGAGATCTTGCTTCCAGAAAGATTGGAGATGAGGATTGATTAAATTGCATACTTAGGAAACTCAAGTCTTTTACATTTTTCTTTCGTTGTACCTGAAATTTTTTGGGAACTCAAATTTATTTTTTATCTTAGGTGATGAATTGCACATTGAGCACAAGTCTAAGTGTTATAAGACGGATTTGTTTGGTGTTTTGAATATTTCCTCAAAATTTTATTCTTTCAGATGAGATACTACTTATTTTTTATTCAAAAATTTCTCGTATAATATCGTATTTTCATCAATAACTTCATAGATACCTTTTTTTCAATTCTAAGCAGCATTCTATTCAGTTGATTATATTTTCATTTGTGTAAACATATGCTCGCTGAAATGCATCAGTAGCATGTTTTTCACTAATCTCGTTACTTCATTATATTGTGCATTCTCAATGTTTATATTTAGTGTTTTTTAATCAAAGATTTGCACATGCTTGTTTGATGCTTGCACAAATCATCCATATGTTGTTATTGCTTTGAGTTGCATACCTTTTTAACTTTCATGCTAATAATGAAAATTAATCATGACACAAAATTCAAAACTATGATTATATATATTACAATTATTGGAATGAGCCATTGCTTTGACTTGACCCATTTTTATAGATATTACGCATATTAATCTCATTAATAAAATTGGATACGTCACTTTTTTCGATATTCCTTCATAAAATTTATCCTACGATGGTAATCTTCACATTTAGATCTAATAATAAAAAAAATATTATTCTGACATCATTTTTACTTCAAAGTAATAAGGGCCATCTCTAATTGTACATTTAATCATATTAGAATGCAAGGATGTCATTAATTGTTATTATGTGAATACATGGTTCTAAAACTTAAGTGAAGATCATGTTTTTTCAAAATGGAGAATCGACATTATTTCTTATCCTAAACATGATGATTGATTAAAGAAAGTACATGTGTGTGTATATATGGATATATATTATGTTGATATCACTACTCTGTGAGCGTATGCTTGTAAAATTTGATTTTAGTTATATAAATGAACACCTCTATTCAAAATAGTCCATTTAAATATGCATCATTTTTCACATGATACGTTAAAACTCCATTTTTCATACTGTTCGTTTGGTATTCTACTTTGTGTCATTTACTTTATTACTGGATGAAAAGGCATTTCTCTTTAAAAAAAATGGCTTTTCAAATTTAGGACATTATTCATATGTTGGTGATTAGTACCTGTCTAGGAAGTAACATGTCCGGACCGGAATTTCTCTTTGCATTTTGAGTGGCGTAGTTTCGAGACGACTTTTTCTTTTATGGTACATACTTAATGTTTGGTCCCTTTCTTTCTTTGCTCTTGCTGATATTAGTTAATGTTATTCACTACTTTTATGTTAGCATTAACAGACACTTTGTTTTGAAAACGTAAGTATGAATAGACACATTTCCTTCATATTACACATGTTGTTCACGAAACAAAACCATGTAGTAACTATTACATAACTTAAACCAATCAACTTATAGTTACTATAGCTTTATTACATTACAGTGTAATAGCGATTATATTGTAGTCTTATTCCATTACTGTAACCAAACAGGCTGTTAAAGTAAGTCGTTGACCACCTCTCTAGTTTTTCATGTAGATTCATCGAATTTGAGAAGAATAGGAAAGATCAAGGTCTTGAGACTGGAGTGCGCTCTTATTTTAATTCACAGATCTTACCACATAACATGTGTCACTTAGGGCGTGCATGGAATCCATTCTGGAGCAGAAATTTTGCTCCAGAATGTATTCCAGAACAAAAATGCGTTTGTTAAAAAATTTCCGGAATGCATTTTGAAGCAATTTTTGCATTTTGAAATAAAAATGCGTTTGGTAAAACTTCATTCTTTTTTTGGCTCTGGAATGAATTTTTGCTTCTAGAATGAGTTTTTGCCCAAAAAAGAGAAGCTACTTTTTGTAGCTTCTCTCTTCCAGAATGTATTCTAGCCCAAATTTCCTTCTTTACAAGAAATCAAAATTTTCAAAATATCAAAAATTTTCAAAATTTCACAGAATGCCCTAGAATACCTGTGGCCACCCAGTTTGAGTGAAATTTAAATTTTTTTAGGTGCCCAAAAAAATCAAAAAATCAAAAATTTCAAAATTTCACAGAATGGATTAGAATACCTGTAATCACTCACTTTGAGTGAAATTTAAATTTTTTTAGGTGTCCAAAAAAATAAAAAAATAAAAAATAAAAAATTTTGCAGAATGGCTTAGAATACATGTGGTCACCCACTTTGAATGAAATTTAAATATTTTGAGGTGCCCAAAAAAAATCAAAAAATAAAAAATTTTACATAATGGTTTAGAATACCTGTGGCCACCCACTTTGAGTGAAATTTTAATTTTTTTAGGTGCCCAAAAGAAAATTTCAAAATAAAAAATTTCAAAATTTCACAGAATGATTTAAAATACCTATGGCCACCCACTTTGAGTGAAATTTAAATTTTTTGAGGTGCCCGAAAAAACTTCAAAACTTGATAAAATGGCTTAGAATACCTGTGACCTCCCACTTTGAGTGAAATTTAAATTTTTTGTGGTGCCCAAAAAAATCAAAAATAAAAAATTTTAAAACTTCATAGAATGGCTTAGAATACCTATAACTACCCACTTTGAGTGAAATTTAAATTTTTGGGCACCTCCAAAAGCAGAAATTTCCTTATGTTTCATCAAACAGATTTCTCTTCCAGAAATCAATTTCTGGAGCAGAATTAGTCCTGTTTTATCAAACAGATTTCTTCTCCATAAATCAATTTCTAGCAAGAATTTGATTTCTGGAGCAGAATGGATTCCATGCGCGCCCTTAAAGGGGGCGCATGGAATCCATTCTGGAGCAGAAATTCTGCTCCAGAATGCATTCCGGAACATAAATGCATTTGTTAAAAAATTTCCGGAATGCATTCTTAAGTAATTTTTGCATTCTGGAATAAAAATGTGTTTGGTAAAACTTCATTCTTTTTTTGGCTCTAGAATGAATTTTTGCTTCCGGAATGAGTTTTGGCTCAAAAAGTAGAAGCTACTTTTTGTAGCTTCTCTCTTCCAGAATGTATTCTAGCCCAAATTTCCTTCTTTACAAGAAATCAAAATTTTCAAAAAATCAAAAATTTTCAAAATTTCACAAAATGCCCTAGAATACCTGTGGCCACCCAGTTTGAGTGAAATTCAAATTTTTTTAGGTGCCCAAAAAAATCAAAAATTTCAAATTTTTACAAAATGGCTTTGAATACCTGTGACCATCCACTTTTAGTGAAATTTAAATATTTTGAGATGCCCAAAAAAAATCAAAAAATCAAAAATTTCAAAATTTCACAGAATGGCTTAGAATACCTGTGGCCACTCACTTTGAGTGAAATTTAAATTTTTTTAGGTGCCCAAAAATAATAAAAAAATAAAAAATTTTACAGAATGGCTTAGAATACATGTGGCCACCCACTTTGAGTGAAATTTAAATTTTTTGAGGTGCCCAAAAAAATCAAAAAAGAAAAAAAATTTAGATAATGGTTTAGAATACCTGTGGCCACCCGCTTTGAGTGAAATTTAAATATTTTTAGGTACCCAAAAAAAATCAAAAATTTCAAAACTTCACAGAATGGCTTAGAATACATTTGGTCACCCACTTTGAGTGAAATTTAAATTTTTTGAAGTGCCCAAAAGAAAATTTCAAAATCAAAAATTTCAAAATTTCACAGAATGGCTTAGAATACCTATGACCACCCACTTTGAGTGAAATTTAAATTTTTTGAGGTGGCCGAAAAAAAATCAAAAAATAAAAACTTCAAAACTTCCTCAAATGGCTTAGAATACCTGTGACCACCCACTTTGAGTGAAATTTAAATTTTTTGTGGTGCCCAAAAAAATTTAAAATATAAAATTTTAAAACTTCACAGAATGGCTTAGAATACCTGTAACTACACACTTTGAATGAAATTTAAATTTTTGGGCACCTCCAAAAGAAGAAATTTCCTTCTGTTTCATCAAACAGATTTCTCTTCCAGAAATCAATTTTTGGAGCAGAATTAGTCCTATTTTATCAAACAGATTTCTTCTACAAAAATCAATTTCTTGCAAGAATTTGATTTCTGGAGTAGAATGGATTCCATGCGCGCCCTAAATCGCCGCAAAGAGTGATACATAGGAGACTAATTTCGTACTTAACCCAACTTGGAAAATTCACGACCCAGGATAGCTAATTATCACAAATGGATGGAG